AGCCTTAGCCCCTGACTGCGGCCCAGCCGCAGCTTCTGCTCCTGCCCCTGCCCTCAGACCCATCCCCAGCCTTGGCCTCCAGCCACAGCTTCTCACAGCCCCAGCCTTAGCCCTGTCCCCAGCCTCAGGCCCTGGCTGCAGCTCCGTTCCTGGCTCCAGATCCACCCTCAGCTGCAGCCCTAGCCTTGGATCCCTTACTCCTGTCAACACCCATCCCCCGTGGGGAGCTGTGGCCCCACTCCTGGCTCTGGCTTGCAGGGGCACAGACAGGTGTAAGGGAGGGCTTGTCCATGAAAAGTTTGGGGACCACTGCACTAGGCCAATAACCCTGTCAAAGGTTGTACCACTATCTATATTGGTACAATCAAAGTGGTACAACTTGTGTGTGTACACAAGCCTGAAGTATCTTGCTGAATCAGAGCCTTATAAACGTTACTTTTCTCGTTTATAAAGTCACCACAAACCTCCTGATTGACATACAGCTTTATTAGGCGGTAGAGGTGCCTAGCAAATCTATATGCAGTGTTGTTGTAGCTGTGTCAGTACCAGGATATTAGAGAGACAGACGAGTTGGGTGAGGTCAGGCCCAGTGCAAGGAAGTTTCACATCCTAGGCGAAACTTCCTCCTTGCGCCCCACCCCCAGCTAACCCCGCCCCCCCACGGCAGCTAACCCAGCCCCCCACCCGGGAAGCCCGCCCCCCCCGGAGGAGAATTAGAGTGGGGTACTGTGTGCTCAGCGGAGGAGGCAGAGTGGAGGTGATCTGGAGCAGGGAGCGGTTCCCTGTGCGTCCCCCCCGTTACTGTGGGCGGCCCTCCCCGCGCCCCCCTGCCCTGCCCCAGCTCACCTCCACCTCCTCGCCTGAGCGGGCTTTTAGGCGCCCCCAACCACTAGGCGGCCGCCTAGTTTACCTAAATGGTTGCACCGGCCCTGGGTGAGGTAGTATCTTTTATCAGACCAACTTCTATTGGTGAAAGAGACAAGCTTTTGAGTTTATACAGAGCTCTTCTTCAGGGCTGGGAGCTCTGTGTAAGATTGAAAGCTTCACTCTCTCATCAACAGAAGTTGGTCCAATAAAAGATATTACCTCACCCACCTTTTTTCTCTAATATCCTGGTACTGACAGCTACAACACTGCATATAGATTTACCAGGCACAGCTGAGGATACATGACTCCTTACCCAAGATTACTTAAAGTTTTAAACAAAATAAAGGAAAATTACAAGCTTGTACCTTGTTGTGACGATGCTGGTCTGTAACGTGTGCTAAGTAAATAATATAAGTTACCACTGTTTAGGAAAGAACTCCATTGTTGGGAATTTGATGCAAGGGAGTCACACAAGAGATTGAAAGGTTGCATGTGAGTGCTCATGTACTGACATTCCTTCCACATAGATTCAGTAATCCAGAGATGAGGAGTTTTATTAAACATATATGAACCTAAGCAACAAGAATTATAGGATTAGAATACATTAATCCTTTGCTTCTTAGATTTTCATCCACATATCATACGAGTAAAATTAATTGATGCAAAAGAAGTAACTATGGTCTGTTAACTTAAGTTTGATCATAAATTGATAATATAAAGGAGACTATGTAGAAAGATTACTGTTTATGCTTTTTGGATGTTAAAACAGCATTGTTACATTACCATTACTCTATTCTACCAATGTTAATGCTGTTTCATTCGAATGAGAGGGTACTTACTCTGTGCAGTATCTGGAGTTCTTTGAGATGTGTTCCCCTATGGGTGCTCCATTTCAGGTGCACATGCACCCCATTTGCCTTTGATTGGAGATTTTTGGTAGCAGTGCCCATTTGGCCCATGGATGTGTTCCAGACATCCCTGTGCCCAATACTAAAGATACATAGAGCTGTGCAGGTGAACCACTCTCTGTTCCTTCTCTACCACAAAATTCTGCGAAAGGAAACGCTGAGGCAGAGGGGAAGGAGGCTGGGGAGTGGAGCACCTATAAAAAGACGCATCCCAAAGAATTCCTTTTACTGCACAAAGTAACCTCTTCTTCTTCTTTGAGTAGTGTCTCTATGAATACTCCACTTCAGGTTACTTCTGAGCATTATTCCTGGAAAGAGGAGGGAGCTTCAGAGTTAAGTCTAATATTGAAGGACAGAACTGCACTACCAACTGCAGCATCTGAGTTATAGGCATGAACCAAAGTACATTGTTTAGAAAAAATATGTAGTGAAGTCTAAGTTGCAGCTTTGCAAATTTCAGCAACTGGAACATCTTTGAGAAATGCCACGGAAGTAGATTGAGACTTTGTAGAATGAGCTAGCATCCTAGAAGGAGATTGGATGTTGATAGATTGTAACATGAAATAAATCATCCAGAGGTCCTCTTGGGCAGAGACTGCAGATTCCTTGGATAGAAACAGTCTTGGAGACTTTCTAAATGGATTGGTTCTCTCTAGATAGAAAGGTAATGCCCTACTGATATCCAAGGTATGGAAGGTAGCTTCCTTCCTGGTCTGATATGGCTTTTGGAAAACAACTGAGAGATGAATGACATGACTAATATTAAATTCAGAAGACACTTGAGGTAGAAATTTGGGATGTAGTCATAACAAAACCTTTCCCTTAAAAAACTCTGTAAAGGAAGAATCTGCCATTAATGCCCCCATTTCTCTGTTCCTTGAAGGCAGAAGGTTCGGCCACCAAGAATGCTGTTTCAATGGATAGGTGAAGTAAAGAGAATGTAGCTAATGGCTCCTAAAGAAACATTTCATAAGGGAATTGAGAAAAAAGTTCAAATCCCATATTGCCGTGGGTTCTTTAATCTGTGGAAAGAGACTCATCATGGACTAGGATAGCTTCCCGGCAAGAGGGACATTTAAAACCTAAGGATCCCGGCATATCAAAAAAATGCCAATGTACAGAATAACCCTTGAAGTGGGAAAAAAGAAAGGGGGAAAACAACAAACAACAGAACCACAAAAACTAAATACTATGAACTAGACTAAACTAAAGAAATAAAAGAATAACTATACTTAACTGTGCCTAAAGTGAAGTGGGCATGCTCAATGCTCTGCCTCAGGCTGAAGGGCAACTGAGAAGGAACTGAAGACAGTTTGGCCACACAGCTCTACAGACATCCTCATACCTTGATACAGGGTATGAGGATGTCTGGAGTGCATGCTCAGGCTGAATGGACACTACTACTGAAAATCTCTGATCAAAGGCATATGGGGCACATGTGCCCCAGAAGTGGAGAACCCATAGGAACACTACTCAAAGAAGAATTGTTCCTACAACGGCACTGTGTCATGGAGTCCAGGCCCAAATTTTAGGTTTTACATTAAACATAAAAGGCTTGCATTTTACAAAAATCGTGTTAATTAAATATTTTCATGGTTTACAAAAATGCAAGTATGTTTTTTGTATTTAAATACTTCCCTGAAATATTTGCAATCTAACACACAACAGAATTATGGCAGCACATGAGAATGAGAAAGTGAAATTGGATATAAGCAGATTAGTCAAGATTTACAGTCAAACCCAGTTCAAGCAGCAAAAACAAAACAACAACAACAACAACAGGCTCTCTATTGAACATTTGATGAGATTTTTCAAACTTTTCAGTTCTACTATTATAAGGGCCAAACTCTATTCTCAGTTATATGATGTAAAACCAGAGAAATTCCAGTGATTTCACTGTAACAGAGAAGAAAGTATTATTGGCAGCAGAGGCAAGAAGACATTTAAATATATATGTTTATTACCTTGTCTGTGTTTCTTTAAAGGTACCTAATTCTGCTCTTAGTTACATTCATGAGGCCCCTTTAATTTCAGTGGGGTTGTATACGTATAACTGAAGGACAGGAGCTTTATTTACCATAATTTTCTAACTCTGATTGTGTATCCATAATATTTGCCAACATGCTGGAGTACAGGAAGAAGTTCCACTCATTCACAGGTAGGAATCCAAGTTTGTCTTGGGCCTGATTTTCACCACAGTTATTCTGCATGATCTTAGTGCAGAGTAGGAAAGAGAAGCAGAGTTGGTTTTCAGTGAAGAGGGCAGAAGAAACTGTCTGTTGAGGGGGAAAGATGTGTGTCAATACTAATAGTGTAATATACTTAGAAAACACACAAAGCAGATATTTAAGGCAACGTCTACTCTACAGACTAGGGGTGTGATTCTCCTGCTTGAATACTACTAGTGTGAGTATAAATAGCAGTGTAGCCACAGTAGCACTGGTAGAGGCAATGCTGAGTACATATGGGTACGTACAGAGGGGGTCATATTCAGCACAACTGAGCCGTGGTTCCACTGCGGCTTCCCAAGCTATTGCGGGTACACTGCTATTTATACTCGTGATAGCAGTATGCATCCATAAGCAAGAGAATCACACCCATAGCTCATAGTGTAGACATAGCTTCAGATACAAAGCTTTTTATAGTAATTAAGAAGATTTATGTGTAAGTAACTATACTGTATTTTGGTGATACCTCACCTTATAAACATTATTTGTCAACATGTCAATTATATCTTTAAGATGCCTGTTAAAGCTGTCTGTCTCATTCTCACATTCTTCCCAGTGCTCTTGGGTGAAATGCCTTTTTCTCTGCCTGCTAAGGGCTCGTACTGTTCCACATACAGAAGAAGTCGAATCTGACAGAGAAATTTGACTTTGCAGTTTATTCACAAAATCCATAGATTCTACAAAGATTTTATGGAACCACTCCAATGAAAACTGATACATATAGTTGATCTTAATAAGATCTGCCACTACAAAGTAGAGCACAGCACCTCGAGTTGCAATAGGGAGATAGTTTTTACGTGTTTTTTCAATTGTGGCCTCTGTTTTTGCTGATGCTTCAACACGCTCAAAAATCTCTTTTGAAGTAACTTTTGTTCTTTGTAAGTTGTCAATGAGGTCCTGGTCATCTAATATGTGCCCTAAAATGTAAAATAGGTTTTATTCAAATTGAGAAGTTGTGAACTAGAATGCAGCAGACAAATGAACACATTTTTAAAAAATAAGCCAGGCTGTATTTTATGGAGGTTATTTCATAAACTGTCCCTGTAGTCATACATTTAGTTTAAAAAAAACCAAAAAAACAAAAACAAAGTTTCACACTAAATCTAACTGATGTTAATATTGTACTTCCCATTATTTATTTTTATATGGAATTTATTGTCTTGCTGTATCATTTATATTTATCTTCATACGTTATATAAACTGTAATGAAAATAAATGCACAGAAATAAAGTTACCTGATAATTTCACACGTAAGAATTAACAGAAGAAACTGAAGCAGAAATTTATTGTTTGCAATGCACATTAAGAAATTATCCATGTTCACTATCACAATACTGTAGAATTGGGCTCGGCAACGTTCTGCACGCGGCTCGCCAGGGTAAGCACCCTGGAGGGCCGGGCCAGTTTTATTTACCTGCTGACGCGCCAGGTCCGGCCGATCGCGGCCCCTCCTGGCCACGGTTCGCCGTCCCGGGCCAAAGGGGGCGGGGAGAAGCCGCGGCCAGCACATCGCTCGCCCGCGCCGCTTCTCGCCACCCCCATTGGCCCGGGA